TGGATATTTTTTTCCAGAAAAGTAATTTAAGACGCTGTGTTGGAGACGTTGGTTCAAAGTGTCTTTATTCAAATAATCTTACTGAAGGAATCTGCGAGTATATTGATAAAGTGAGAAACATGATGGACTCAGTTACCTTCCATCAATTATGTTCCATACTTGTGCATCTTTATAAAAATGTAAGTCCAGCGTCACAGGTTTGTGGCCGAGGTCTAATGAGACCTGCAGTTTATAAAACGCAGCAACACAGACAAGGTCAGACCTGCTAATGATTTAATGTTCCTGTGAACCTCTGGCAAGACTAATTTGTTGCAATTTGGGTCTGGTTTCCCCATTAAAAAGCTGATAAAGGCTTGTAAATAATGAGCCAGTCATTGTCCTCTTTGTGCCCTTTAGTCCTGTTGCACCATTAATTAGCTGTTTGATACTCTGAGTCTTACCTTTAGTCCCTGTGTGCCTTTTTCGCTGTGGCTCGCTGTCCTGCTGGTTTGATGTAGGTTTTAATGAGACTCCAATGAGACTCTCAGCCTGCTTTCACAGCTGCGTCCACCAGCTGCACATGTGATGGAGCTGTTGGCTGAAATCTAATGGAGAATTTGAATCATCATTAATTGTTATTTTTTTGTATTTATGTTTGCTGTGCAAAATGTCTGCACACCTGAATGTGTGGCAGGAAAACAAAGAACCAAAACCCCTCTATCTGACCCTCTCATGTTAAATGAGGAACATCTAAACTTCTCATACTTGCATTTATGTAATAACATTAACAGCAACATTTACTCAAAGGTTTAAGGAGATTCCCAAAGCAGTGAGCTCATCTTGGCCCCGGTCAAAGTAATCCTAGACGCACTCGGGTATAAGATCACGGACGCAGGTAGAGGAAGCCCTCCGTAGAGAATAAGGCTGGAAGCCAAAATCCAGGAAACCTGGAAGGATGTTAGCTGGTTAACTGAGGTGCACAAGGTCTCCATGAGAGACAGGCCCTGGGTGACAAACAGATGTCCATAACACTGAGACAAACAAAGCCACGAGGCTGAAGAGATAAACCAGAGAAGCAGAGGGCCTGTTCTCTGAAGATCCATCCAGGGTGTTCTCTCATCTACCGGGAATAACAGCACGAGGGCAGAGCCACTCAGAGCTGAAACTCAACAACACTGGAAAAACATCTGGGAGAAAAAGGTGTCACATACCACCAATGTCAAGCGGCTGGTGGACCTGAAAGCAGACGACAGCAAACAGAGCCAGGGGTGCCAGGTGCTGAAGGAACAGCTGGAGCAAATGTGGAAGGTCAAATTCAAAGTGGTCCTAATGGTAATAGGAGCATTAGACACTGTAACCCCCAAACTGGAAGAGTTTCTCCAGCAGATTCCAGGCCAACATCAGAGGTTGCTGCCCAGAAGACAGCAGCTAAGATCCTGGACAGAACCCTCAGACCCCCCCAGACCTTTAATAGAGGACCTGAGGGACACACACATTTTGTATATTTACAGGGAGGACAGGGATTATGCAGACGCTGCCCACTGTGAAACCTCTACTCTGATGAAACTGTTGTAGTATTTAACAAGTTTTACTTACCCAAGGGTGGAAGCTGAGATAAATATTGTCACTCGAGCAATAAATAACTTTTACTTAATTTAATATTTTAGCTTATTTAAAATCCAAAACAAAACTGGTCAGAAGTGTAGACGTGAACAGTATAACACAAGTCAGTTAACTTTCAGGGAGATTAATCTGCATAGAAATGTGACTCTGAACTCTTTGTAGACGGTTTTGACTTTAAACTTCTAGACTTTGTGTTTTGGATTTGAATCTGCTGCCATGTTCAGATATTGATGATCTCGCTCATACTGTTGTACAGACAAACATATGTGCAAGGATTTCATTGGTCCAACTAAACTCTTCCTATGCATTTATAAATATGTCACACAGACCAAAACATTACAACTTAATGAATGTTAATAAATGTTCCAGCAGTAACCGAGCCAGCGTGTGAGCGCTCCTTCTAATTGCTTTTACACTGTTTCATGTTTAAAGTGTTCTATTCTCTCTTGTAATTTATACTATCTTTGTCTCATTAGTCTCAAATTGTTTCAATTGTGTGAATTGAAACTGTCATATTTTTGTCATTCTTCTGCAAAGCAATTTAAATTGGACTAACCTGAATGAATAGAGGGGAATTTGGAGTGATACATTTACAAACAGACACACATGCTGCTGCCTTCTGATTGGCTCTGAGAGGACTTAATCAGCTGAATGTGAAGCAGTCTGAATGAGATGGGGAAGGAGATGCTTTTAAAATGCAATATTAGAGCAGTGAGACACACGCTTGCTTTGTTTGTGTGCAGGTGTGGGGGAGGCACTTTCAATCCTTGCAGGATTTGTGGTTTCTTCTCTAAATGTATTCAGCAGGGGGAGAATTGGTCTCTGGATTTGAAGGTCTTAAGCTAGAAAGTCTTTCCTGCGGGGATGTTGCCACTGAAACACCTGTCTTTGGCTTTTTTCTTTGTGCTGAGATACACCAGCATTGTGCTCAAATCTCAAAATGTAAATTGTACAGGCAGAACTGCAGCGTATAATCCCTCTATGGATGCATTAATGTCCAAGTAAAATATTAGAAAGCAGTAATATTGTGTTTGCTATGAAGTTCCTGATAAAGGATTAGCCAACAGCTGTCACAGCGCTGAAATGTTGATTCTCAATACTTTATGCAGTGATGCCTTTCAAACAGTGGGACCAATATTAACTCCACAGCTTCAGGAGGTGAGGAGTTAAAAATATCTCTCAGCAAACATTTCTGGCACAACTTTGCCTTCTTCCAAGGTGCATGGAGAGGATGAGACGCTAACAACATGGAGATGTGATGGTTAATTTGACTTTTTTTTTGTTTCTTGTCCTTTATTCAAGCCCAGATGTGTTATGTATTACTATGACCCTGATGAAGGCCGAAACATGTTAGTCAGTTAATAAAATTGTTCCTCTTCACTTTTAAGTGTTGCTGGAGTTCCTGTGTTGTTAGTTTAAGATATTTCTGCCATGATTTGAATCTGGTAAAAAGATGGTTTGTAAGGTTGAAAGTCTGCTCTTGAACGTTGTTCATTTCACCTTTTGTAATTTTTGCAAAAGTTGTAATTAAGCTTTGACGGTTTGCATCATTTTTGACCGGCTGAAAACATTCAGAGATCTGCAAACATTTAATCTACATTTTCACCCTTTGTTCACTGTCCTTTGTTTCAAATAATGTTGTTACTCTTGGACTCTGTAGTCAGACTCAACAGTAGCTTTTCATGACTCATAATAGGTTCACCACAGGCCATTTTAACTTCTGTCTCTTTATAGACTGAAAAGCCAGCTTCCTTCTCATTGGATAATTTTGAGCTGCGTGGCTGAGAAGACCATATACTTGCTGCCATATTTAATGACATCATACAGACACCAGTGTAAACAAACTGTCTGAAACTTAGCAGTATGAAGCTTCACTGATTCGTTGTTGGAACCTTTGCCCCTCCCTAATATGAGTATTTATCAAATAAATACACCTGCTCAGCTCCTCAGATTAGCTTTCGTCAGGCATTAAAACTTGTTAAACTGACAATGATTCAGACCCCTGGCTGAGATAAAATTAATAGTCTGGAAATCCTCTTTCATGGCTTAAACGCTTGTAACAAAAGTCCAAAAATAAAGCTTTTCAGAGTTAGCAAAGCCATCCAGTGGACTGGATTGGACCCTTGGGTGGGCCCATCCTGGCTCATGGGCCATATGTTTGACAATTTTGTCAAAAGACTCTATTGTGGCTTTTGAAAAAGATATTATTGGTTTTGCATCAAGCTATGAAGTGCATCCCTAGTGTTTTCAGCAGGACTTTGAAGTAATCACTTCAAAGAAACATCACTTCATACATAAAGGAGATGCTGAGATTAGACGTGTCACTTCCTGCATGGAGTCTGCAGCTGCTATCAAGATGTTATCACATCAGGATTTATTAATGCCTTCTGATTATTGTATTCATTTACACCCGATGAGCGCTGTCATTATTTGGATTCTATCAGCAGTCAAATCTCCAAATACAAATCAGAACTTATTGTGCTATTCAAATGTCAAAGTCATAACATTACTGCTATATATGGAATCACCAGGTCAACAGTAGTTTTAGACTACGCAAACGTCAAATAGCTAATTATCACACAATTTACTGCATTTATTGAATATCACACCTAAGCTTTCCTTACAGCCTTTCCCAGGATGTGAAGTGTGTGGTGTGTTAGTGCAATTATGTAACAGTATCGCTCAATAATTAGAAGCCAGCTACCCACCACCCGTCCACATTTTACATGTTTAAATAATTTAGGCACGTCTACTCCTGCACTTTATGTCAGTGTCCAAACGAGGGTGCTTGGTGAGGAGGAAAAAGAAGGAGGGGCAACCTAGCCTGGATTTAGGAGAGTTAATAAAGCTGTTTCCTGTTAAAGTTAAATCCAGGCAACATTAATATGTTACATCCAGTAACATATTAAGGAACAGAAGGATAAAAGAAATCCTTTTTGGTCAAAGCTGCTCGTGTTAACTTAAACAAACAAATGTGTTGACTTTGTAAATGAACAGCGGTGGACTTCGTGTGATTCTGTGTCAGCTTTCCTGGTGAATTTAAGGCAAAAAAAAGTTGGTTAGGCACAATTCTGTAAATATCTTCACAGACCTGTAAGAGAAGTTTGACACACAATCAAATCTAGCTGCACTACACGGTGCACACTGATAAAGCTGAGTTTAACATAAACAGCTGCAGATAAAGACAGAACCAGTTCTTTTTACTGGTTTACTACATCCGTATGACTCTCAGCTCTAGAGTTGTGGCATCTCGCTGGCCTGCAGGCATACACTGGATACTAACACTGTAATAAGATAGTCCCATTCACCCCACAGCATGCTAACATTAAAGACTGTCCTGTTCCTGTGGGTGTTTTGGTAAAATAAAAGTAATCGACTCGATGTTCTGTTCCTTCCAGGAGGGCACGAGGACAAAGAACTAAAGCTGGCCGAGGCGTCTCAGTATCAGCTGTATCAGTGATGTCAGGCAAACAAACGTAAGTAATAAACAGTCGTCCACCAACAGGAATCAGTCTTGTATGTTGCAGCCAAGATGTTACTGATGGAGAGAAAATAACTTTAGTGAAAATGTTGAATTATGGAAACAACAGCTTAGAGCTGGGCGATATATCGAGTTTTTAAAAAATATCGATATATTTTTATACGAGATATAAGATGTGACCATATCCTTTATATCGATATAGTCTATGTTACGTTATAATTATACTTGCGGAGCCGCAAGTTTGCCTCTCTTTCGTGCACTTTCGTCTTTACGCAACGTTACTCGGCCTCGCCTCTCCTTCACTGAACACAACTCCCCCTCCTCCCCCATCGCTTCACCTGCAGGAAGCGACAAGATGGACACGGCAAATCCGTTAACGAGTTACTGCGCATCGCCCCGTGCGTGGGGCTGGATGGCGTCAACGTGTTAGCTAGCTAACCACGCTAACGAGCTAACCACGCTAACGCCATGCAGCCCAGAGGTGCTGCATGGACTAAAATCCTTTCATTCTCTCAAAAGTTGACAGCGCGCCTTATGTATGAATTCTGGTTGTGCTTGATGGCCGCGAACCGATTTTATGTGGTACACGGCGCTCAGCAATCTGTCAAAAATGTTTTAGTACGACTTTGGTAAGCTACGGAGCTGCAGCGCTTGATGGATTGTCGGAGCATTACGGCTGAGCCTCGCGGAGTGATACGTACTGTGCTTCAACGTAATATTACCTTACTGTGTATAAGGACCATAAATGGCACCTGTTAAGAGACGTGGTTGCGAAGCGGATTACAAACTCCAGGCTGTCAGTCACGCAGTAGAAGTTGGGAACAGAGCAGCTGTGAAATCTGTCTTTGTTATAGTGCTAGTCTTTTACTTTTCATTTTGACTGCACATTTGTGAGCTTTTTGTTATGCACAAAAACAACATTGTTTTCTTTTATTTATGGAGCATTATTATTTAATAAATGCTCATAATTTATTTTTGAGTAAATTTTATGTACATCTGCTCTATGTTAATAAAAGTGCCTGTGTGACATCTGGGACACAGCTTTGACTAAGAACTCTCTTCTTGTTCTTACTTTATGGCTTTAAAAAAAGATATATCGAGATATATATCTTATATCGCCATCCAGCTAAAAAATATCGAGATATGAATTTTGGGTCATATCGCCCAGCCCTACAACAGCTCTTAGTCTGTAACACAAAGACTGATTGTGCTCAAACAGAAAGCCTCCAGTGCTGAATATTGATCAGATGGAGTCAGCAATTTGAAGGATTTGCTTCGGGCTTTGTTGCATATGATGGGTCCCCTTACTGCCAGCGTCTGACTGATTGAAGAATGAATCAGTCAGTCAAACAAAATAATCGATATGTTCAGTTTGTCCTTTATATTCATTAATACAGATTAGTTTCCCTAGACTTTTCTTTTTTCAACCACACGCACTTTTGTTTTGCTATTAAAACATAATCATATGGAAATTATCTGCTGTGCTTGTTAATATCATGGGCATAAGAAGATAAGATGACAGCACAGCAGAGTTTACCTCCAGCCAGCCTGCAGGTAAATCACTGCTGAATCTGTTGAATAATTTAAAACTCAACACTTGTAAATGAGTTTTGTCTTTTGGGAACAACAACCTAGTTCAACACGTGCTGCAAAAAAGAGCTGGGCATAGGCGTTGTGAAGTCGGCCACTACATTCGGACTTCTGAACCCATCACGACAGCGTTTTAGCGGTCGCTATTTGGGTCTGTTTGAGTCCGACGTGATCAGCTAACGCTATCATTAATAAACTGTACAGATGCAAAGCAAAGACATGCTATATATCTGCTATTGGATTAAGACAAATGTGCTTCAACACACAGGAAGACGTAGTGTTTGGCATATCCAAAAGACACCATTAGCAACAATACAGTTGAGAGGACCAGTTCACTGACTTTAATTAACAGAGCCAAGGCCTAGCACACAGCATTTAGCTAAAGCTCCCAGTGCACCCTGTTAATCAAAGCAGCAGTGCCCTTAACTCTCAGCCTTACTACTCTCCAAATGCAAATTACCTGCCGCTGTTATGGAGGTGTACATTACTCAGAGGCCAAAACAGCTTTTAAATGTAATCAGTTGGTCATTTTAAAATAGGAGTCTCGTGAGATTTCATCACTTTAGAGACACCCCCCCGAGACTTTGGGTTTGCTGCTGAACCTACCTGAGGACCTCACTACATCCCTACAGCACACAAATCACTTACTGGTGTTCTTCTGGTTGGTTTAAGTTAGCAGAAGTACAGCCCATTAATTTCTTCCATATTAGTGAAAACATTGACCGTGAGTTACAACAGAACTGCCTCCTGATGATTAGAAGTATTTGTACAATGCTGGCACAGTGTCCCAGTTGTATTGACTGAATTAATGACACACTTTAATGAAGCATTTTTTTTAACCTTGGCTCTTTTTTCCATCTTTTGGGGTCTAAATAATTTATACTGACTAAAATGGCTGTGATTGGTCCAGTACTGAGTAAGAATGTAACCAGCAAACTGCAAAATGGCTTTAAAGTCCCACAGGGCAAATTCACATGTCAAAGTAAAAATGCTTGTTTTTGGGTCTGACAGGCTGAGGTTGTTGTTCTTGTGCAGACAGCAAGATGGAAAGGATCTCTGCAGACACACAAGTGTGTGACATGCTAGAGAAGTGTCGCTCTGAGATGTGGTGAGAGGTGTGGTGTTGTAGGAATACAGTCTGTCAAGATGAATATGAGACACAGTCCTCCAAGGAAAAGTGGAAAAACATTAAATAGTTAAAATATAGAATAATTTTAAACAAACAAAGAGAGATAAGACCGTCTTTTGGGGGTCGGGGAGTTGCGTTATTTTGAAGATTGGAAAATCAGACTCACGGTTAAAAAAGCGTTATTGCCCTTTAGCAATGGACGGTTGTTTTGATGTAAATCAATCAACCACTGGGATGGAAAAATGAAGCCAACAACTGTGCAGTTCCTCAAATGGCCACTGAGTCAATTCCAATAGAGTCCTGAGTTGAAATGTGCTGTACGACTTTAAAGCATAAAAACATGTTTACAGGCGGGTACAAAGGCTGAGTCCTCACAGACAGGCGTCCCAGTCAAAGGGCTGTGCTAACTGCAATCACTGAAGTGTACTGGTCTGCTGTGTTTGTGTTGTTTTGACCAGTTGGACCAGTTTAATGGGATTATCTGATCAATAATAAAAACCCTGTTGTGTGTTACAGCTCAGCCAAGAAATTTGTTCTGTAGTTTTGGTGAGTAAAGTTTGCAACACAAATTCAGGTAATGCTTCTGTCATTGCATTTCACCCCTCTTACTAAGCCTGTTAGCCTTAGCTAATGACTTAATAATAACATAATAGTTATGTATTAGTACTTCAACTAAACCTGGTTAAAAGAATCTGATGTTAGGCTTCCAAATGAGTCCAAAACCAGTGCGTGATGTCATAGTAGCCACCTCAATTTTTGTCCACAAATACAGAGTATCGATGTACTTTTCTGTACCAAAGATGATAGATTTAACCACTACATCTTTGATGATAATATTATCATTAAATGATCATCATTAAACATTTACTGGAAAACAAATCTCTCTGCATTTGCAACGTGCTAAACAAATAAATAAATGTTCTTTTTCTTTTGCTGTTGCAAGCTTGTTACATACAAACCATTTCTATGAGACCTGCTTGAGAAGAGACTAAAGATGTAGATGTATGTCTGAACTGTCCCCACACCTGCTTTTTTCTCTCCTAGCATGGTGAGGTTAAAATAGACACAATTTGCGTTGCTCTGGAATTGAGAGCAGCTCTTGACAGACACTGTTGCTGGTTGAAGTGTGCTGGTTAATGGCATGTGGGCAAACAAGCATTGCATTGGCAGGTTCAGAGAGACTCTACTGGTCTGGTGTAGGAGCTGTGCATCACACAAGGAGTGCCTTCTCTGCCGAGCACCCCGAGGACCTCTGTATCAGCAAAGCTGCATTCATGAATATAAATGTGTTCCCACTATTATTACACTTAAACACCTGAAGTCACGTGCAGAAGCAGTCGCTAACCGCTCGCTATTAGTGAGCTGCTCAGCAGATGACACTAAGGAAATATAGATATTGAAAGATGTTGACACTGAAATAAGTTGAGTTCCCTATAACTTTTCTAATATGTAACAAGTGTAAGTGACATCTACGTGAAGGGACATTAAAGGGACAGCTTGTCAAAGTCAGTAACAATGACTCTTTACATCTTGTTTACCTTTGCTTTGTGTGAGTTTTTAGTAAAAGTAAATGGCATGCTGCAGTTTATGTTTTTCTTTGATATCAAAATCTTAATTTTCTGCAGTTGAGGTTTGCAGCTCCCATTCTTCATTTTATGTAGGGATGTACTATAGAGGAGAATATTATTAAAGCCAGTAGGTTATTTATTTCATAGCACCAGCATGTAGAATGTCCTTATATGTCCTGTGATCTCAAGTTCAGCTCAGAGCATTGCTATTTAATAATGCCAAGTAATATCATCCTCATCTTAGGCTAGATCATATAGTAAGGTCAAGCCTTTGTGTGTATATATATACATATATATATATACATATATATACACACAATCATATATATACATATATACATATATATATACATATATATATATATATACATATATATATACACACACACATATGTAAAAACACCCAGCACGCCCCTGCGGGCGGTTTATCCTTCAAGCTCGGGTCCTCTACCAGAGGCCTGGGAGCTTGAGGGTCCTGCGCAGTATCTTAGCTGTTCCCAGGACTGCGCTCTTCTGGACAGAGATCTCCGATGTTGTTCCCGGGATCTGCTGGAGCCACTCGCCTATCTTGGGAGTCACCGCACCTAGTGCTCCGATTACCACGGGGACCACCGTTACCTTCACCCTCCACATCCTCTCGAGCTCTTCTCTGAGCCCTTGGTATTTCTCCAGCTTCTCGTGTTCCTTCTTCCTGATATTGCTGTCATT